ACACTAATGATGAAAAATCTGAAACAGAAATTCGGGGAACACTCCCATTTACCATTGCAACAAAAAGAATAAAATACCAAGGAATAAACCCACCTAAGGAGACAAAAGACCTGTATGCAAAAAATTATAAGACACTGATGAAAGAAATTAAAGGTGATATAAACAGATGGAGAGATGTACCATGTTCTTGGATTGGAAGAATCAATACTGTGAAAATGACTATACTACCCAGAGCAATCTACAGACTCAATGCAACCCCTATCAAATTACCAATGGCATTTTTTACAGAACTAGAACAAAAAAATCTTAAAATTTGAGACACAAAAGACCCCGTATAGCCAAAGCAGTCTTGCGGGAGAAAAATGGAGCTGGAGAAATCAGACTCCCTGACTTCAGACTATACGAGAAAGCTATAGCAATCAAGACAATATGGTACTGGCACAAAAAGACAAATATAGATCAATGGAACAGGACAGAAAGCCCAGAGATAAACCCACACACCCATGGCCAACTAATCTATGACAAAGGAGGCAAGGATATACAATGGAGAAAAGACAGTCTCTTCAATAAGTGGTGTTGGGAAAACTGGACAGCTAAAAGAATGAAATTAGAACACTCCCTAACACCATACACAAAAATAAACTCAAAATGGATTAAAGACCTAGATGTAAGGCTAGAAACTATCAAACTCTTAGAGGAAAACAGGCAGAACGCTCTGTGACATAAATCACAGCAAGATCCTTTTTGACCCACCTCCTAGAGAAATGGAAATAAAAACAAAAATAAACAAATGAGACCTAATGAAACTTAATAGCTTTTGCAAAGTAAAGGAAAATACAAACAATATGAAAAGAGAACCCTCAGAATGGGAGAAAATATTTGCAAATAAATCAATGGACAAAGGATTAATCTCCATAGTATATAACCATCTCATGCAGCTCAATATTAAAAAACAAACAACCCAATCCAAAAATGGGCAGAACACCTAAATAGACATTTCTCCAAAGAAGACATACAGATGGCCAAGAAGCACATGAAAAGCTGCTCAACATCACTAATTATCAGAGAAATACAAATCAAAACTACAATGAGGTATCACCTCACAGCAGTTAGAATGTACATCATCAGAAAATCTACAAACAATAAATGCTGGAGAGGGTGTGGAGAAAAGGGACCCCCCCTTGGACTGTTGGTGGAATGTAAATTGATACAGTCACTATGGAGAACAGTATGGCGGTTCCTTAAAAAAGTAAAAATAGAATTACCATATGACCCAGCAATCCCACTACTGGGCTTATACTCAGAGGAAACCATAATTCAAAAAGACACATGCACCTCAATGTTCATTGCAGCACTATTTACAGTAGCCAGGGCATGGAAGCAACCTAATGCCCAATGACAGACGAATGGATAAAGAAGATGTGGTAAATATATACAATGGAATATTACTCAGCCATAAAAGGAATGAAATTGGGTCATTTGTAGAGATGTGGATGGACCTACAGACTGTCAAATAGAGTAAGTCAGAAAGAGAAAAATAAATATCATATGTTAACACATATATGTGGAACCCAGAAAAACAGTAGAGATGAACTGGTTTGCAGGGCAGAAATTGAGACACAGATGTAGAGAACAAACGTATGGACACCAAGGGGGGAAAGCAGCGGGGGGTGGTGGTGGTGGTGGTGTGATGAACTGAGAGATTGGGATTGACATATGAACACTAATATGTATACAATGGATAACTAATAAGACCCTGCTGTATAAAAAAATAACATTCAATAATTCAAAAAAAACCCTTAGACATACTGTATTTTTTTTTTTTTTTGCAGTACGCGGGCCTCTCACTGTTGTGGCCTCTCCCGTTGTGGAGCACAGGCTCAGGACGTGCAGGCTCAGTGGCCATGGCTCACAGGCCCAGCCGCTCTGTGGCATGTGGGATCTTCCTGGACTGGTGCACAAACCCATGTCCCCTGCATCGGCAGGCGGATTCTCAACCACTGCGCCACCAGGGAAGCCCTGTATTCTCTTATAAACTATTGGTTGTAACATAATAAACAGTTCAATATAAATGAATTTAAGCACAAACCATATATGATATATTACATGAAACAGAAAAAAAATAGATATCACATATTACATGAAATAGAAAAAAATATATAGATATGATATAGCCGAAAAATTACCCCAAAAAAAATTACCCTAGAAATTTCAAAAAGATTACATAACTAACATATAATTGTTAAAATGAAATGAATATACAAAATAGGGATATCAATTAAAAATTGTGTGCAGTTATTAAATTTCATTTCTTAATAAGCAATGAACTAAAACCTGTTAACTGATGTCCTACACAATGGGATGGATGTTATATTAAAATGATTGGTAGAGAGCAGTCGATACAAAGATTCTGAAATGTAAAACAACTGCTTGTTTTATATAGTTTATATTTTATTGGAAAAGTAATGTACTTTTCCAATAAAATATACTAAAATGTATTCAATTCAATAATCTGTTTTATTTTCTATATGTATTGTATGAATTTCCCTAAACCATTCTCCAGAGCTTAACAATTTGAAACTCATTCATGTATTTTATTATGCATCCTACAACTAAAAATAAGAGTCAGGTAAGAATGATTGTGGCAAACAGCCTAATTACAGAAAAATGCTAATATATTTTTACACTACAACATTTTGAAACCAATTTTGTGTTTATTGAAGCATGATTTTTTCTTCATGAATATTTTTCAAGATTTTTTTGTTTGTTTTTGGTCAGAGTATTAGTTCCTTAGGGCTGCCGTAATAAATTACCACAAATTGGCTGGCATAAAATAGCAGAAATTTATTCTGTCACTGTTCTGGAGCTTGGAAGTCTGAAACCAAGGTGTCAGCAGAGTTATTAGTTCCTGCTAAAGTCTATGAGGGAGAATCTATTCCATGCTTCTCTCCTAGCTTCTTATGGTTGCCAACAATTCTTGGTGTCCCTTGGCTTGTAGATGTATCACTTCAATTTCTGCCTCTACCTTCATGTGGCATTCTTCCCTGTGTCTCTCTCTTCTCCTTTTCTTATAATGACACAGACATATTGGATTAAGGGTCTGCCCTGCTCCAGTATGACCTCCTCTTAACTACTTACATCTGCAATAGCCATATTTCCACATAAGGTCACATTATGAGGTTCTGGAAAGGACATGAAGTTTGGAAGGATGCCATCCAACCCAGGTGAGTCAATTTCCATTTAACATTAATGAAAAGATTCCTGTATTATATAGCATCCAAAAATGATTGATGAAATAGGTGAATCATTGTTGAATATTAGATGTGATCTTTTATATTCTGATCAGATACTCAGATGGGCACTTACCTTTGGGAATCATTCTCATTCACAAATATGACGTACATACAAAGAGGAACTTACAAAATTCTTCAGGAAAGACTGACGAGATTAAGCTAGGTACCTTCATTTGTTTCTAATTTGAGCATACTGTTCCCTAGAATATTTTCTAATTCTGATTTCACTGCAGAATTGTTCAGATCTGAATAAAGTCTGTAAATTACAAGTGGTAAACAAACTTGGGAACTAAAGCTAAATATTACAGACATAGATAAAGTAAGTCTGAGGTAAATTCAAGTATTTAATTCTTATCTTTTGCCCATATAGTTATATTGACATTTTATTCATTGGATTCACCAACTTAGAGTTTGTAATCATAATTGAGAAGATGAATTTTTCCTGTATTTGAATAAATAGTTTACTGAGCAAATTAATAGTATAAATATGACTTCAAGGGAAACTACTTAAGAAAACAATCATTTACATGCACCTTTAATGAACATGCCCATGTATCCTTTTACTAATTATCACTTATTCATCCTTCAAGTCACAAATCAAGCACCATGTTGTCAGACCTGGTTTCCTTCAGTAGATGAAACCCCTACTAGATGTACTTATGGTACCTTGTACTACTTCTTTATAGCCCTTACCGCTTTGTCAATTTTATACTAATATTTATGATTATTTAACTACCATTGCTCTTCTCGGCTAGATTATAAACTCCAGAGGACTAATACTATGGGCTATGTGTATTTAACTCGCCTTTGTTTCTTTGCCTAGTTCAGTACTTGCTGCATAACTGAATAAATTAGAAGTGCATATTTATGTATTAAAAGTTATGTGAATACTGAGTCAATTTCATTAATTTGTTAAAGAATCCTCTGCCACGTGAACTTCACCTGAATAAACATTTTACAATTACAATTACTATTTGTAAATAAAATCATTACATTGATTTTAGTATCTGGAAGAGACAACATACTTTTCCATTTCAAATAGACTTTGAATAGTTTGAATAGCCCAATTTAAAATTGCCAGATTCAAATGAGAGATTTTTATTTATCAAAAGCATTCTGGGCTATTATTAAAATAAACACAATTGACTTTAAATATAAGTTTTGTGAAACACTTTCTGTGAGAGCTATTAGAGCAATTCTACAGTTTTAGTTTCTAATATATGAAAACATGGCACATATCATACGGAAAAATCCCTTTAAAACAATGAACACTGCAATTTCAGTAATGAAATTTATCAGTATAATGTATTTTTAAAATAATACTTGAATATTTTAAATTTTCATAGTACCTATATTTGAGAAAGCTATAGTAGTAATTAATTATTCCCAAGTAGGAAAATTAAAATTCATTTTATGATTATTATTAATTATTTGAGTTATAGACAGTCTGTTGCAAATCTGAATATCTAAATTCAGAATTTGGGCATGCAGATATAATCTCTCTTTTGACAGCTTGAATTTACATAGTTAAGTAAATATACATATTCTTCTCTTATTATTCTTCTTCTTTTTTAAAAAAATTTCCTGGTTAGAGAAAGGACTGCATTTCAAAAGTCAAATATAATGCTAAGATAAACAATTTTTCCAGTTTTGAGACACTGCTACATCTTGAACTGAGCTATCTGTGTCATGCTAATATTTCCTACATTTTCTTTTTGAGAAAAAAATGCTAAACACCCCCTATTTCCACACATATATAGTATATCTCTCTAACCCACACTTTCTTATATTAGGCTGTTCAGGAATATTACACGAGAAACTGTGAGGAAGAACTTGAAGAATCAGATGATGATAACTTTCTCATAACTTGATAGCTGCTCTAAGCTTGGCTGAGCGTCCTCTGGGGTTATTTTGTACATCTTGATCATCCGGAGTAAGTACCTTCTTATGCATCACTTTCCACATTAAAGGGGCCCTTCCTATAGAGACTCCTTCCGTGTTTTCATGATCTGAACCCAACTGTGATTTTTGTATCACCTTCTGTCTAGCACTTAGGTTAAACCTTTGTGTCATGCTTATCCCAAGCAGGAATCGTTTGATGATGCGATCCTCCAGTGAATGGAAGGAGAGGGCAACAAGGCGACCACCAGGTCTCAGAAACTTCTGAGCTGTCTTCAGTCCTGTGTAAAGTTCATTGAGCTCATTGTTCACAAATATGCGAAAAGCTTGGAAAGTCTTGGTAGCGATATGGGTAGATCGTTGTAGCAAGTCTTTTCGTGCATAAGTAGCAGAGGGAGGAAATGCACCTACAAACAGATTTTGTAAAAAGAGGAAAAGAGGACAAATAGGTAACATTAATATTTTCCATTGTAAATTTACTGGGTTGTGTTGTGTGTATATTTAAGGAACAAAGTTTCCTTAGAAAACTGTGCCATTTCATCCATACTTCTCCATTTTATTTCCGAGCCTTCCATCAAAGTTTAAAACTATTCTGTCAGAAACATCTTTCAGAACTCTTAAGGGTAAATGGAGTCAAACAAGAGCAGAGAAAGAAAAAAAGGTGAACAAATATTTGAAGAAATAATAATGAAAACCTTCCTAACTTTGATGAAAAATATTAACTCTCAGCTACAAAAAAATTCAATCGACCTCAAATAGAATAAACAAAGAAAACTGCACCTAGATGCATCATGATCAAACTACTACAAGCTGAAGATAATAAGAAAAATCTTGAATATAACACAGAAAAACAATATATTACATAGGAGAACAAAAATATGATTAACAGCTAATCTCTCATTAGGATAATGGAGTCTATAAGATACTGGAATAACATTCAAATTGTTGAGGGAAAAAACCTGTCTTCCAAGAAAGCTGTTTTAAAACCATTCTTCAGAATTAAAGGTTCAAAGACATTTTCAAATAAATTTAAAAATGAGAAAATTCATTGCTAACAGCTCTAAATTTAAGAAATGCAAAAGGAAATACTTCAGGCTGAAATAAAATAACATCAGCTGATAACTTGGATAGAGAGAGGGTAATGAAAATATGAGTGATATGATATGAAGATAAGAAATAATTCTCTTAATTTCTTAAAAGACAGGACTGTCTTTCTGTCATTCTTAATTTCTTTAAAAGGCAAGACTCTAAGTAAAATTATAATATAACATTCTTGGTTTTATAATATAGATATAGATATGTATTGTATATGACAGCAACAGCACAAAGGATGAGAGTGTGTAAATGAAACTACACTAGTACAAGGTTCCTATATTTTACTGGAAGTTAAAGTTGCATATTGTGGTCCCTAAAGCAATAACAAAAAATAATGCAAAGAAATAAAGCTAATAAGTGAATACAGAATAAAAATAACCCACAAAATATTGTTTAACACAAAAGAAGGCAGAAGAACAGGAAAATAAAAATGAGACAAAGAGAAGACGAATAGCAAAATGGCAGACAATAAATCCAAATATAATCACATTAAATGTAAGGGTACTAAACACTCCAATAAAAACGTAGAGACTGACTGAAAACTAGCAAGATCTAATTATACATTGTCTACAGAAATGCACATTAAATATAGAAACACAAATAAAAGTAAGCAAGAGACTGTGAAAAAGTATACCATGTAGAGATTAAGCATAATAAAACCCAGAGAGACTATACTACCATTAGACAAAATAAACTTTTAAAAAGAAGAATTGATAGACCCCAAAATAAACATTTACTATTGAGAAAAATGATCAAGACAGCAGGAAGATACAATTACAAATGCATATGCACCAAATAACATAGTTCCAAAAATTTACATGCTTCAGAAAAATGACCCACATTTCTATAGGCAATTATGTTTTGACCAAAATGTCAAGTTAATTCAACGGAGAAAGAACAGATTTTCAATGAAAGTGATTATTTGTACAAAATAAAATGAACTTCAACCCTTACTCCACACCATACACAAAAATTAATTCAAAATGGATCATGGACCTAAGAGTAAACACTAAAACCATAAAATATATATCTCACAAACCTCTCTTATTCAGCACATATAAGGGAATCTCACAATTTAATAACAGTTCACATTTAGTAATCTGTAGCTCTGGTAGTAAAGTACATTAAGACACATCTGATTAATCTTCTTAGGAAACTGGATCAGAGAAGGGGAGAAATAATATTGTACCTGTACCACAGAGCTGAGAACTCGGCAGCCTGACGTTAACCAAATCAGTGTTATGGTTCACTCTTCCTCTACAAAATCTACTTTGCTGAAAGGCTAGAAAATGTTATATATTAGGGAATTTATCTTCCAACAACCAGGTCTCTCAGAAACAAAATGCCAAAGTCAAAGCTGAGGAGGGAGGCCCGAAAGAGTTTTGGTCACTGGGCAATGCATTTCAAAACATTCTAAGGATCTGAATAAACATGAAACTATTCACAATTTAGAGCTTGGATTTAGAGAACGCTTCAAGAAAGCTGCATTCCTGAAGTCCTTATGTGATTCAAACCTTGCCTAATTCAATGCTAATTTTTTCAAAGGAGAAATGTAATATAAAATACATTTTAATGTATATGGATTTTAATGTAAAATAGGAGGTAAACATTCATGGAGCATATGGATCAACAAATACTGTAGGATATTTTTGCTTTAAGGCTTAAAAAATTGTTTTTCTTATCATCTCTAATATTTTGTAGAAATTAAAACCATGGCTCAACGTGGTAACTGCTTAGCTTTCTTTGCATTTTATCACATTTCAAAGATATATATTTGAGGATGTGGTTTTTAACATAGCACCCTGAATTAGCCATGCCTGGATATGTGTTAACTAAATTGATGAAATGATAGAAAAGCAGAGAGCTTAATTAACACTTCCTTGATATTATCTTTAAATGTTTTTTAAAGCTAATACAAATAGGAAATGTTAAAATAACAAGGTAATGTCTGAAATCCCCATAGAAATTCTAATATAAACAACAGCATTGGTTCATTTGACATGACAAAGTATGGTAGGCATTTCTGTTTACCAGCTAAAATGGCACCTTCCTCTGCTATAATTATAGTTTATAATTCATTCAGCCAGCTAGTTATGAAACTATGAGATTCCTGACTGATTTTTTTAATTGAAGAAATCTGTTTTTATTTCAAAGTATTCACATAAAGTGAGACTTTATTAACATTTTATATTATGCAATGTCGTTTATATAATTCATGTTCACATTAAGTACATCCACACTATGAATCTGGAGCTCACAAATTAACACCACTGTGATCAGATAAGCTTGTCTTTATAAGGTCTAATTAGGCCTTGTCAATATCATATCATGGAAAAAGAAAATGAGAACTTTTGTTTATATTGAGGAATGGATGATCCTGAAGATAATAGGATAACTACAGTCCATGAAGCTTTCCTTCTGGGGCTTTCTTACTTTTGTTTAGGGAATTCTAATATGGACTATGTCCACTGGATTTCTTGGAAGGATTTCTAGGTGTGGTCCTGTCAGCCTCCTCAAGTCCCATTTTTAGAGAGATGACAAGGGACTGCAATTGGCAACGTGTTTCGTGCAGCTTTTTGGTGCTGCTCTGGGGATGAAAGGCACATATCCTCCCTTCCTTTTTACTGGCACTTTTGTGTCTGTAATTTATGGGAAGAGAGGTTGACAATGCAGATTGTATAAAATGAAATAAAGGTACAAAAGTATATAAAATAATGTAAAATAAAGTAGTAAAAACAAAACATCAGCTGGCATTGTTACAAACAGACAAGAATATAAGAAAAGACAATACTGCTATCAAGAATTAAGCAAGATTCTTTGTCTGAATTGGAAACTTTAAAGACAATCAGTAAATGTCCTGTGCCTCTGAGGTAGCAAAAAAGGGTCTCTTTGTGAAAGTCACTGGTCAGAGAGCAACTCTGCCACAGAGTTCTTCGGTATGCATAGACTAGACCTACAGGTCATCAGGAAAAAAGATTCAAAAACTATACCAGAACCAATGCCTACCTATGAGCTGGAATCTGATTTAGGCCATAGGAAGAAAAATATTAGTGATACATGCTCCCTGACTCTGAGTAGCTGGCTGTTTTGCAATCCTTCACTGCTTTCTCATCTCCCACATCCTGTTATCAGAAATAGAAACTGGTCTGTTTTTCCATTTCCTGAGCTTAATCACAAAGTCTTGTATGGCTAATTCATTTGATTAAGGCAGAGAGCAGGTAAGACAAAATATGGACTCAATCACAATTTGGGTCATTTTGTTTGGTACTGAGAGAAAATCTCCTTTTTCTGGTTTATAGTCCATCAACAGATTTACCTCATACCAGGCCAATGTATATTAGTTCTAAGTGGGAAGAGGTGTGCTTAACTCTTCACATAGCACTTATCACACTACTGTGATTACTAGTTTGCTTGCCTGTCTCACCCTACTCCAAGCCATCATCATCTTTTCCACACAGTCATCAGACAGATCTTTTGTGTACAAAAATTGGATGTCATTCCATGGTTCAAAACCTCTAGTATCTTCCTATCACATGAAATAGGAACTGAAGTTCTTATTACCTTGGCCAAATGTCCCTATGTTATATACAATTTCTGCTTCTCACCACCCCCATTTCTCTGAACTCATCTCCTGATCTTGAGCTCTGTAATCTTAACTAATTCATGGCGTGTTCATCCTGGGTCCTTTGACCTGTACCAAGAATATCTATCTGCCTATATATACCTGGATGGGTTACTCCTTACCTCACTCAGGTCTCTTCTCAAACACTGCAGAATTAGAAAAGAAAAATAGCACCCTGTCACTGGAGTCCCCTTACATGGTTTTATTTTTTTTTTCATAATACCTTATCAGGGATAATATTTATTTGTTTACCATCTGTCTTCCTCCACTAGAATATACACTCAGTGAAAACAAAGACTTTGTTAACTGCTACAAATGTTTTACAGCAAGAAGAGTTAGTAGATTGAAAGAATGATTGTATTTGTACTTTAAAGTTATAAACATAGTCATTGTTAAAAAAACAAAAATAAAAGCAAAAAGATATATTATCTGTAGTATATGCAGTAAAATGTTAATGTCACTACTCCTTAAATTCCACCGTAAGAGGCAATCAAGAGGTATACTTTCTAACTTTTTTCTTAATAGATATATATGACACTTGTATATAAATGTATGCACATGCATACATATATATATATATATATATTTGTAAAAAGGGAATGATCTGTACAATATCTGCAACTTGTTTAATTACCTTACTTTAAAAAATAATTTCAGTTGTATAGACACATTATAGTCCATTTTGTTTGT